GGAGTAAAAACGTTTTGAAATTCCAAAATAGGAGTATCATATTTTTTATTCCCTGAATATAAAACATGAATTTGAATCTAATTAACTTTTAGTAAAATAAATAAGCAACATTACAAATAAATAAGCACATTTGGATTACTCAAATAATCAATCTTTATTACTTTAATAAATCATTTTTCAAACATCATCAACTTTATTATTAAAGACTTTTCTTAGAATATCGAAAATAAATCACTTTTGAAGGCAACATAAACACTCATTTACAGCTTTTATAATAATTATAGAATACTTTAGTAAAAGGTTTGGTAATGTCATAATAAAAGGGATTTTTTTATTCAAATGCATTGGGATCAATACATCCCACTGAACATACATTCTTAATAGTTATGTGTATGCTTCTGATATCACTCTTAATATAAGGCTAAAGTGAGATGCATGCTTCTTAGCTATCAGTTCCACATTGCTACATCACCCCATTCATCCATGTATTTTATTATATCAAATAAATCATAAAAATCCATTAAGACCGCTATGAATACGTTGGGAATATAAAGAGATTAGGCGCGCGCGCGCACACACACGTAATAATTGGTCTAAGTGTTATTACTGGATACTTTTTAAAATAGCACTTTATAAAGCCCTGCCATGTGAACTTTAAATATTAGTAGCATTTTATAAACTATTATGTCATAGGCAAGTTGATACGGAGTATGATATAAGCAATCATGCATATATTATTACCCTAAGCCAAAACTAAGAAGCTAAGGGTGGGTGGCAGCCAAGATCACAAAACAATGAACTTTCCTTTAGATAAAACATCGTAGATATTCCTTGGATTGTCTTCATGTATGTCTCTACAGAGCTTGTTCTCAATCCTCTTCGACTTGCTTTGGAGACAGAAAATATAAAAAATCGAAGGGCTTGCTTTTATGTATTCATGTATGTATTTGGACCCGGCTTTTGTTTCTCATCGTAGCGTAGTTAGAGAGTGATCTTAATATAAAAAGAGTATTGTATATTCCAACGAAATTTCAACATAATTGATGAATGCACCAATAAGTTTGTCTGGTGTCCAGTGCCCAAAAAATAGGATTAGGTTGGAGTACTCATTCTTCACACCAAAGAGTATGAAATGGACAATTAATTAGCTATAGTGAGGTGTGCTTCTTTATGCGAAACTATATTTTTGAATAAAAACAACACGGTACATACCATACTACCGTGTTAAGAAAACTTAGGTGATCAATGCATTTAATTAAAAAGAATGTGAATGCAAAAGAAAACCTAATTACATAGATTAGGCGGTTGTAAGGGGTGTTTAAAAAGCTCCAATTCGCAAGATATATATGAAACATTGGTAGTACAGAACAGAGCAGAGCAGAACAAAACAGAAACACTTGCTCCTGAACTGCGTTTGTTGGCTAGTCAATGATAGTAGTGACAACTTTGTTTATTCATAAGTTGGTTTCTCATGTAAGCGATTTCGTGTTGGTTCCCGTTTCTTTTTCATAAATATACCAACTATATTTACGGCTTTAATAGTGTATTAATGTTAAAGAATAGGAAACACTAAAGGGAAATTCAGCTGAAACTAAATGAGGAAAGAAAACATATAGGAATATATTCCTCATACACAGAATGTTTTCCAAAAGGGAAACTCAACTGAAACCAAATGAGAAAAGAAAACAAATAGGGTTGTGATATGATGTAGTGTTGTGATATGATATAACATAAAAGGGAAAGTTCCCGAAATGGGACTAAAAAAGTTTGAAAATTTCAAAATAGGACTGTCATGTTTTTATTCCCAAAATAGGACTAATTATTGCCAAAGTTGGAAAATACTGCCATGTTTGAAGTCTGGTACTGCCAAAACATGACAATAATTAGTCCTATTTTGGGAATAAAAACATGGAAGTCCTATTTTGGAATTTCCAAACTTTTTTAGTCCCATTTTGGGTAATATCTCAACATAAAAAGATGAAGTAACATAAAAAGATGGAGCCTGTCTCAGTGGTCAAACCCACTTTTCCACAGCTCATGGGGCACCCTTTTGGCGTGGAAAGGAGCTAAGGTTGTTCGTGATGGAGATAGACCTGCTGTGAAACGCAATTTTGCGATGGAAATCGCCGACCAGTGCATCGCCGTTCAAGGTCAGTGCTTTGTCATCTAAAAGTGGATGATCTGAAGCTCTAATTGGATGAAGGAGAAACTGATTGAAAGATGGAGAATTGGAGGAATGGATTGCAATTACGGAAAGAAATGAGCTGAAAGAAACGATGGATATTTGTTTTTCAAGTTGGAAAGACGTTTATTTTAAAAATGAAGATAGGAGAATATTTGTTACTATCTCTTCTTAATTTTCAGCTGCTCCAGAGAAGAAGAAATGATATTTTATAAGTATCAGTAAAAGGCAGTCAAACAGAATGCTAGCAAGAAAGAAAAAATTGGAGTATATATTACAGGTATAGAAAAGAAATAAACTTTCATGCCTGAGAAAGATGGTTTCATCAAGGATCTTGTGGGACTTCTAAGAAGGCTGGATAACAAAAAAAATTAAGGTACTGAAGTATCATTGTGTTCTGTAAAAAAACTTCATATTCATAGCACAGGTAGAGACAAAACAAATCAGGGTTAGAAATTGTTTTTACAATAAACCATCACAATATTTAAAGTATATGTAGAGAAGAAAACAATGACTTTGTACAAAGTAAAAAAGCGAGCAAATGGGTTCAAAATACATTATATACAACAAAAAATCAGTATGTATTAACTGAATGTATGTACGACCTCAAAACTATAACTTTGGACAAAATGAACTGAAAATGAGTTTTCAAGTGCTGAAATCAAGTTAGAAGTGTACATTAACTCACATAAAGCAAGGGTGTTTTAATAATACATTAGAACTATCTGTCACACAGTGACAGATGCCCGTGAGTTATGACATACTAGTACATATTAGGAATACTTACTACTCCGAATGTTCTATGTTAAATAATTGAGGGTGATTTTTTTTAGTTCGCATCCAAAATTGCATAGACTGACTGCGGTTGATACGGAGATTTTGAGGAAATTTACAGCTTATCCAATGGTATTGGCTAATTATATAGTCTATCTATATAGAGCTCAAAGGCTCTCATTAGTCCAAGAAGTAAAAAAAACTGCTGTTTCGGTGGATAGTGGAATATCTAAAAAAATACTAACTTCTAAGGTTCGTGATTGATGTGTTAGATTGAGAATTGAGACTACTAAAATGGTTTTCAAATTAAATATAGAAGATTATATATTTAAAAAAATTATGTGGGAATTGTCATAAAATTTAATAAGTGAGAATTGTCATAAGAATACACATAGAACTAAGATTAGACGTAACAGTCATTAAAGAATGAAAGCAAGAGAGCAACAATTAGTACGTCATAATATGAAAGCAATCTAGCTAGCAACAAATAAGTACTTCATGATACTATGGACTCCATGTACACTAATCAGTATGGACTCCAGCAAAGTAGTACGTAGTATTTTAGAAATTCGTACATAGAAAGCCAAATTAGTAGTTCATAATTATTAAAGCATATAAGACTCTGCTTTTATCATGCTTTTGTTGCCTAACATTTCATCAAACACTTTATATGCTTTAACTTATATGATTTGGTGCCCCTAAAATTCATGTTAAAACAGAGAAATATATACATCAACAAATACTCAAGAACTCTCAGATTATCATTTCTAGTGAATACAACAGGAGTATGGTTGAACTTTTAATAAAGCTTATACTCCATACAAATTCATAGTGCTTTTTGTGAAGAGATTTGTGTTTCTCAATTGATTCAATTGCAGGCGTAAAAATAATTTAAAAGGCTTTCAAAGATGATGGAAAGAGCGGAAGAGGCAGCTTACCTGTTTTATTAGAGAGGCAATAGCACAAATCCCTACCTCTATTGCAACCGCGCAGTAAACTCGAGGATGAAGAGGAAGTAGATGAGAAACGTGTTGTACATGGCAATCTCTTGCGATATCTCTCAATGCAAGCCAATTTGTTCAGAATCTTTAGGAGAAGGAGCTCAGGCTTTCTGAAATTTTTTGAGGCAGGAAGGAGTCGCTGGTTTCTTTTCTTTTCTCTCGCCACGTGGATGCACCAAAGAGTAACCGTGAATTGAGGTGAGAAAGACACGTTGGATTGAGGGTATAATCGTACTTTAAAGAGCCTATTCTTTTCTTATATATAATATATATAAATAGAATAGATTGCAACACTTTTAATTTTTTATTGTCAATGTACTATTGACCATTAGTAAAAATTATAGTCTTTATAAGGCTTGATTTTAAAGCTTTAATCGGAAAATTTTGTAATGGTTTATATGTAGTATAAGAAATTGTTTAATGCATTTAATTAATAAAATAAAATAAAATAAAAATAAAAATAAAAGTAAAGTGTATAAATAATGTAAAAGTCAAGCAAATATTTTAATAATGTAAGTTGTGACGAATGGAAAATTAAAAGCGGTGCGATATATAATCAGGTGTAATATTTTTTTTGAGAATGAAAGTTTAGAATGTTAATTATATTTTCACGAATGCTAAAATATTTTAAATTGTATATTTGACATTATAAATTTACATTTCTGAAAGAAAAATTTATTCCCTATGCTTGTTAAAATTTGCTAAATTTGACTGGCAAAGAAATGGGTGATTGAAGTATGAGCCAATGAATAGTTTTATTCTTATAAATACCTTATTCTTAACTTCTTACAAATTTCCTCGTTGTTTCGATACATTTATAACTCAAATTCTGAACTTCTTGTTCTTCGTATATTTTTAGGGGATCTCAATTTGATAATCGGACTTCTTGGTCCTTCTCTTTTTAGTTTTAATAGTTTTTGGCATTTTATATGTTATCAAAGGTGTTCATAATTACTACGTAATACTCGCTCCGTCTCATAGAAAAGTTTTCACTTAATTTACAATGTTTAATTAATTTGGTCGTATAGTTAATTGGTCTTTGTCTCTAATTAGACTTTATATAGCAAATAAAATTTACATTTTCAAAAATTATATGGAGCATTAAATAATTTATAAAATCATAAAAGAAAAACTCAACTTAATAAATTATTATGAAACTTTAAATGGAGACAAAGGAAGTATTGATTAGACAATTACTCCCTCCGTCCCTATTATATCTTCCAAATAGGTTTGACACAGAGTTTAAGATAGTGGGTATTGTGTGGTGGAGAGTTGTGCAGAGGAGAGAAATGTGTAAGAATTGCTGTGAACCACAAATTCTAGCCAAAAAGGGAAAGTGGAAGTTTTAATTGGGACGGACGAAAAAGGAAAGTTGGAAGTTTATTTAGGGACGGACGGAGTAGTTGATATGGATTATGGATGCTCTAATGCGCCCCTCTTCTATATAGAGATCAAAACCTGTCTTCTGTACATCTCGTATTTAGCAGCTAAGAGTTTGAATGATTGCATCAGTGAAAGTGTAAAACTATGGCCATGTCAATATAGCAGTACAATACATTGACAAGTCGCAAATTTATTTCATTTGCTTCTTTCAAACGAGAACGGGAAGACGTTACTATAAACAGAGAGTAGGTTCAAATTGCGGCACCGCAATAGGGGCAGAACCGGAAATCAGCCTCAACCTCCCGGCCGCAGAAGCCACAGCTCAGACCATCCGTGGAGCGCGGCGGCGGAAATTGGGAAGGGGATAGTGACTGGGGGAAGAAAAGCTTGCAGTTGTTGCAATAAAGGGACGATTGGTCGCCGGGCCTTCTCCAAACGGGGACGAAGAAGACTTTGAAGACCTTCTCGTAGTCGACCAGATCCGCTCTGGATCCGCAGGCTATGCATCTCCCCACCCCGCTCTTCAGTACCTGCTTCACTTGATTCTCTACTCCTCCAGCGAAGAAGAAGAACATCGTCCTCCTTATTCTTCTTCAATTGCCCGATTAGGTTTACAGAGAGGGAGGAAGGCGGTGAAGGACTCTGTATATGTATATGTATGAACGCTGGACTCTTCTAGCTGTAGGTCTAGATGTTTCCAGGTGTTTCGTGTGGGTTGGTCATCCGGGTAACCCGCGGTCAGCCCGATGCAACGTAAGCAACGCTCGTAGCTGCCTGTCATCATAACCATAAGAGCATCTTTAATGGGAAAATGGATTGGAGTCTATAAAAAGGTGATAACTCCGGTACCTTTCTAAAATATGGGATACCGTACCTACCATTCATTTGATTGGATCACATCACTTAATCATTTTTAATTTAGATTTAAATAATTCAACTGTTACCTTCTCATTGGTCCATGTAGACAAAGGTATGGTACCTTATGGGTACCATAAAATCTACCCTATAAAAATGGACACGTGGTATATTTAGACGGCCTGTGAAGTTGACGTGGACACACAGCCGATTACATTTACATTTCGTCTCCAATGGTGTCTATCTTCTATTCTCTATAAACAAAATTATTGTAATTTAATTACTATTCATACTTTGAGCATATACATATATACACACAACGTATGCATATATTCACCGCCACTAACGTCTAGAAATGGAGTACTGCCGCCGGATCACAATTCACAATCACAAGAGGCTGCCATCCTGCAAGCAAACTCCATGAACAACCCCAGTAAAAATATAAATACATACTTCTCCCCGGAAAATACGAGCCGGAGAAGAGGGTTGCCGGAAACGAAGAGGGTTGCCGGAGGAGAAGAGGGTTTGCTGGAGGTCCGGAGGAGAGTGTTGCCGGCGAAGAAGAGGGTTTCCAGAGAAGAAGAGGGTTGCCGGCGAAGAAGAGGATTGACACTTGACAGAGATGAAGGGGGTTGCCGGCGAAGAAAAGGGTTAGCGGAGAAGCTAGAAGTCGCCGGAAAATAATGGGTCTGCTCGCCCCTACCGCGGTCCGCGAACCACCTATTGGAGGAGTACCGCCGTAACACAAGGGGCTGCCGGGCAGTGAAATTGTTCTTCCATTTGGTTACCGCCGTTGCTTAATTGAAAGGGAAAAACCAAGAGTAATTCATGCATCAATATACGAAGTTAATATATTCCGAAACAAAATTATTGGGTTTGCTGACTTGGCTGTGAGAGAGCCTTGCTGAAAATAGAAGGCAAGACAGGCGTTCTCTCCATTTTCTGTTTCCAACTCAGCACCACGGCCAAAATTCATATTTCCATTGGAGAAGATAATTTTACCCCAATATGATGTGGCAATGCATTTATAAGCAATTCATGCTCCCACTAAAGATGCTCTAAGCAATGTTCCAAAAGGCAGGTCAAGCCGTCAAGGCCAACCCTCAAGTCTTTGAAGCATAGGCGGAAATAGGCAAAGCTTAGGCGTGAAAAGACGTTTCTGATTTATGTTGATAATAATTATTATTTTATAGTGACACATGAAGAGAAAATTAAATGTCCAACATATACTGGTATTATACTAGATTGAGTTTAATTTTTACTATGTTCGATGTATACACACACATAATTTTTAAATGTATACAAAGTGAAAATAAAAAATGATACTATCCTCCGTCTCTAAATAATTGCAATACTTTCCTTTTTTGGCAGTTTCAAATTAATTGCAACACTTTCATTTTTGGCAAACAAAATAAATACAATGTCTATAATGCCACTAATGATTTCATACCTACCTTTTCTAATTTCTCTCCCCCACCACCGATCTCCCATTTATCTCTTTCCTTAATTTCTTGCCGTTTGCCATCCACCCGGGATAAGGGTCAGTTTGGTTCTCGAAGTTGCAAAAAAGGGGTCAAATAAGTCCTTATATAAAAGATTCTGTCCGGACGTGCCATTTGAGGTGGCTCCCGGTGGATTTTTTTGATGAATTTTTTTGAGCATCTTATTCATTAAGTCTAGTTTACTCATACCAAAATTCAGATAAAAAATTCAATGGGGAAGACATTCAAATGAATTCTTGAAGATAATTGTGCCGTTAAAAGCGATGTTATCTTTAAGAATTCATTTGAATGTATTCCCGATTGAGTTTTTAGCTGAAATTTAGTATGAGTAAACTGGACTTAATGAATAGGATGTTCAAAAAAAATTATCACAAAATTCCACCGGGAGCCACCTCAAATGGCACGTCCGGACAGAATCTTCTATATAAGGACTTATTTGACGCCTTTTTTGCAACTTCGAGGACCAAACTGACCCTTTACTCCCATCCACCCCTAGCCTTTAGTTATCTTCCTCCGTATATACACCATGTGTTTTCATAATCTAACATGCTCCCCTAAATGTGTTTAGCCTTCACTCATCATTGGTATGACTGTTGCGCCTGTGATATTGGCAATAGTCTAACAACTGCACGATTTTTACTTTATTAATCTACATGCAAGTCAACTTTGACCAAGTTTTGTGGGACAGATAGAATACTATTTATACTACCATGGGGTAAGTGGTAGTGGTGATGTAGAGGATCTTGAGTGGTTAATCCCCAACCATAAAATCTTGCATATATCATGCATTAAATGCGCTACCCGCAAAAATCCTTGCTTTAATTTCCCGTCAACTAAATCGAGCTTGTTGGCCAAAGGTTCCCTGGTTGCTAATACGAATCATTCAATGCTACTTCCACGTTGCCGTGCGGCGCGTGCCACCTAGGTCGAGTTGCCCGGGCCTTGGTCGTAGCAGATTTCTGGTTCCAATCTCCAAAGGGGTATTAGGCCGATCCACCTTTGTAGATTCTTTGTGCCTCGAAGCCACACCCCAGTTTAATTTTGGGGTCGAGCCGCGCGGGCCTAAGGCCTTAGACGGTTTAATTTTGCGACTCCTCTTGTTTCACGGATTTTTCCTCGACCAAGTCCGTTATCGGGGAATTCTTACATAGTTGTCCGTGATGAAATTGGTGATAAACCCGTTTTTGTTGTTGTTGTTGTGCTAACACTTAACCGGCCTTCATTCTTTTACATGAGATCAGCACATATGTCCAGTGCCGGTCCTATCTTAATTCGGGCCTGAGTCGAACTTCACAGAAGGCCATGTAGACTATAATAGATTACTCCATATAATAGATAGTATTTCGTAGTCTAATTTGTTTTTTATGTTAAAGATTAAACATCACAAACAATAACTAATCATGTTAAATGCCTATACTATTGTACTATGTGCTTATATAACAATTGTTTTAAAATAAGTAATTTGTTTATACTACGTATTACTCATGTAAGGTAGATCTAAAAGTTATAATTCTTAGGCCTCTTTCATTTGAGGTACTTCCGGGTCGAATTTTTCAGTGAAATTTTGTGAGCATGTTCTCTTTGAAGTGTAGGTTATGTGCACTAAATTTCATATTAAAATTCAATCGGGAAGTTAGTTAAATAATTTATTTAAAAAACTGCATTTGAGGCCTAATGGAAGAAGCTCAACCCGGAAGTAGCTTAAATGAAAGAGGCCTAAAATTTCAACTTTTAGGCCTACCTTACATGAACATTTTCCTAGACACACATATAAACTAATACTAGTTAAACAAACGTGCTAAATAAAAAAGGAAAAATTGATACTAATAATCCCAACTATTGGCGGTCCGCTCATAATAATCCCAACTATTGATTATTCCAGAATAATCCCAACTTTAGGGGCCTTCCGCCAATAATGATTCCTATGAATAAATTCTTGTAGTTTCTAAAGTGGATGAGATGAGATATAACAAGTAATCCCTATAAATAATCTCAACTTTTAATTTTTAGGCTTAATTTCTATTTAAAATTCACTTTTTATAGAGGTAATATCTGGTCATGGACCATTATTGGCGGACAGTCTATATAGTTGGGATTATACAAAAATAATCAATAGTTGGGATTATTTTCAGCGGACCGGCAATAGTTAGGATTATTATTTTCAATTTTTCCAATAAAAAATTATTGTCAACAAATTCGAGAACAAAATGATTTTAAAATTTAAATATATGAAAAAGGAAAATTTTCAGGCTAGAAAAAGAGTTCCACTCTGCAAATTCAATTCAAATCCATCCCAAGCATTTTGAAATGGTCAGCTTTGTGGGTCGCAGCAGATAAAGGTAAAACAAGGGAACCAATTTATACTTTAAATTCACACACATATATATATAAAAGAAAGTATTTTAAATTTTGGGGCCCTAAATTTCTAACATTTTCTGGGGCCCTTAGACCTTTGCCTCATTGGCCTCCAAGTAAGCACGGCTCTGCATATGTCATAATGAGATCACAAAAGGCACAACTTTTCCATTGAATGTTTCCCCATAATTAATAAGTAGTACATGTCAAAATCAGCAGCAAGATGCCATCTAACATTCTAACCCAAACAATACTCTAAGAAGGTCTCCTCTTGTTTCCTTGAAGTCGCCCTACTCTTATAAACGTGATGATGGTAACATAACTACCTAAGTAGAAAGAATTCTCCGTATTATCTACGCGTATGAGTTGTATTATACCCAACAAAACAAATTGGGTAAATACAATCTGCAAACAGCCCATAGTTCAGTTGTCAAATGCATGGTCATGGAAATATCCATTACATGGAGAACACACGGGGTGGCCCCACTTTGACCTCAACCCCAACTGAATTTTCAATTGACTCAATTCCCCTCTCTTCTTCTCAAACTCCAAAAGTATAAATAAAACCCCTTTTTGAGTTTTTTCTCCATTCACAAAAAACATTTCTGAATCAAATCAAATCAAATAACGTCAAAATTCCGAACGTTAAAATTCATTATAGCTTCCCCCAAAACTCAAAACAGCAGGAGCGGATACATGGCATGTACCGTTGCGATTAGCTCACCGGTCTTCTCGCCTTCCAGAATTTCAGTCCACTGCAAAGCCGCCGGCGCCGCATCTTCCTCGTCGCCGGAGGCTCTGACCCGCTCACTCTCTCCTTCATCCGTCACATCTCCGTCTTCGCCTTTGCGGGTTCTCCGTGCCTCGAAGCCGCATCCGAGTGGATTGATTCGACCTTCTACTTCTGACTGTTCTTCTTCGACCTCCTCCACTGTTTGGAAGCGAAATCGGCCGGGGAGGTTGGATATCCCCAACGTTCCGGTGACCTTTGGGGACTGGCCGGACGCAGGAACTGCTATGGGAGAAGATCTGGTGGAGTTTGAAGGAGATGGGTACTCTGTGTGCTGTAAACGGGGGAAGAGAAGAAGGGCTATTGAAGATCGGTACTCGGCTATGGTCAATCTCCGTGGAGATTGTAAGCAGGTTCGCTCACCTTAGATAATTTTGGAGTTAATAGCTCGTGCTTTTCCAATATTAGGGTTGTAGCAGTATACTTTATTGAGTTAATTAGGCAGTTTATAATGTGAATGTTGTACATAACACTAAGTATCGACTAGAATCTCCAACACTTGCCTCATAAAAGTGAGATCTTTGAACCAATAATTATGATAATGGTGTTGTTTTCAGAACATGATCATATATCTCACATAAGATTATCACTTTTTGCCTGTTTAATTTTTTAGCTACTCATGTTATAGACCCATTTCTTTCAGATTTTATCTCTTTGCTTATTTTTATGTTCTATGACTTTTGTCGTATTCAAATTCCATTACTACCATCTAGTTGAACTTTTAGTATTGTTTTTAAACACGAAGAATATAAATTTGCATGTAGTAATTACGACAAAGTTCCGTAAATATGACTAGAACATATTCCGTAATATATTTCTTCAAACATAACTCTCATTTTTCTTAAAACATGACTCATTATCATTAACTTCTAGAGAAGAAGTTTTGACTAGTTTTATTCCTTATTAGGGCTACATGGACCTCATTTTTAGGATAGACATGATAGCACTATTCGTGCAAAGTTCTCATGTTATTCTCCTGGTTGGAGCAATTTCCTTGGTATTATTTTGCATTTGTTCAGAAAAAATTGAATTATACTACAATTAGAATTTCATTCGCACCTCGTAATCATTGGGACAAGAGGGAATGCGTAGGAAGGTCTAATCTGTTCATGTGTAACTTTCAGGCTGTTTTTGGTGTATTTGATGGGCATGGAGGAGCAAGTGCGGCCGAGTATGCATCACAAAACTTGGTCAAGAACATCTGGGATGAAATAGAAAAGAGCAGTGACAATGATGACGAAATTAAGGAGGCGGTGAAGAATGGTTACTTGAAAACAGATACTGAATTCTTGAAGCAAGATCTACAAGGTGGATCTTGCTGTGTTACAGCATTTATTAGTAACAGCAATCTTGTGGTTTCCAATGCTGGGGATTGCCGAGCTGTTGTGAGCAATGGTGGCATTGGAGAAGCTCTTACTTCTGATCATCGACCTTCAAGAACGGATGAAAAGGAACGCATTGAGGCTTTGGTAAGCAAGATTCCTCATTGGTCAATAATAGAAGTACAAATGAATCAAATTAGGTCTTGGGATACTCAAACTTTTAGCATGAAACACAAAACCTTAAGTCTTAATGTCTCATTAGAGCCTAATAAGCTCAAATGAGTTTTAAGATTGATATGCTCTAGCTAGTCACTATCTTGTGTGACATGTTAAACCATCCACATTGACCAATATAATAACAAGAATCTCAATATAAGGCCTTTTAAGATAGATCCACAAAGCTTAATAGCATTGACCCACCTTCATCTCATTGCCATAAAATGCCACATATATCCTGACACATTTGTGATTCGTTGCAGGGTGGCTTTGTAGGCTGTAGTCGTGGTGTGTGCAGAATCCAGGGATCTCTGGCAGTGTCTAGAAGCATTGGGGACCGGTCACTCAAGCAATGGGTTATTGCAGAACCAGAAACGAGGGTAATCACCCTTCATTCTCAACTGGAGTTCTTGATCCTTGCTTCTGATGGCTTATGGGATAAGGTAATTTGCAGTTTTCATGCCAACTATTGATTTCACCTCATTAAACAGTCTTCAGTGATGTAGTTATAACTTATAATATGTTTATTGCTCCTAATTTAACCATTTAACTCTAACTTCGGGTAAGTCTATATGAATATAATAATGCTAAAATTGCATTTTGAAGAAAAAATGAAAAATATATAATTAGAATTTGTAAGAAATACGGAGTAGCATTCTGTCAAAAATATAATGATATCGCCTTGTAGCACTTAGCACTAACTTGCTGGATTCTAGGTTACGAACTTGAAATGCATTTACCTACTAACTATAGAAAGCTCTCGTCTCACAGGAGCTAAGGATTCCAATTTTGCCTTGTTAGGTGGTCTAGTCGCCCGATCTAGCCCTAGTAAATTTTGCATCTCTGGTTTTACCTTATGTGACTAATTTACCAACTTTGCTCATCAGGTTAGCACACAAGAAGCAGTAGACGTTGCCAGGCCTTTCTGCATTGGCTCCGATAAGCCCCAACTGTTGTCATGCTGCAAGAAACTGGTCGATCTTTCGGTTTCTAGAGGTTCTTGCGATGACGTGAGTGTGATGCTAATTGCATTGGGAAAATTTTGTAGCAACACATAACCGTCGAAACCTATGAAGGCTGAGTAACACTTCTGTGCTATGTTCTACAAATATTGCCATTTCTTGAAGCAGTGATGACATCTCTCTGGCTGAAAGATGATAAAAGGAAGACTAGTTTAGAAGATTCATTTATTCGGGGCCTGTATTTTGGCCTTTGATTTCACCATTCTTATACATTCTGTTATTCATTTATATATGTATTCTTTTATTCATATATGTAAAGTAAATAACCGCTATTAGTGTTTTTATTATTGCTCCCTAACTGGCTAACTTGCACTTGATGGATGATGAAGGCATGAAGCTTCAATACGTTATACGTGGTAAATTTGCATACCTTTCATACAGGGGTATTGGCTATTTGGCTCTACATATCTAAATTATCTAAACGTACGATGTTTATCTAAACATGATCTTCGCCATACTTTTTTGAGACCATGTATTTGATGATTTTAAAAGCGAAATATACTAGCTCAATTTTTTAAAAGTGTGGAGTATATTTTAGTTTTATTTTGAACACGTTAAGTAATGAATCCTACTAAGAAAAATGATTTTTGTATGCGTTGTGTACAGTCATGGACCCGGGCCGGGCCGGTTCCGGGCTGGGCCCGGCCGGGCTTTTTTTTTGGGAAGGAAGGCCCGGGACCGGCCCGGGTAGCCACCGGGTCCGGTCCGGGTCCGGGCCGGGCCTCCGGTTCGGTCATTTTTTTTTTTTTGCTTTCCTAGCCCCCCCACTCACCCCCCAAACCCCTCCTAACCGTCAAGCCCAACCCGGCTAACCTCAAAAAGTGAAAAAAAAATAAAAAAAAAAATCAATTCGGCCCGGGCCCGGGCCCGACCCGGCCGGGCCGGTTCGCCAAATACAAGGCCCGAGCCCGGACCCGCCCCCCCCACCGGGCTTAGACCCGACCCGGACCCGGACCCGAGAACCGGACCGGTTCCGGGCCCGCACAGTGGCGGGCCGGGCCAGTCCCGGGCCGGGCGGCCCGAACCGGGTCCATGCCTAGTTGTGTACGTATCAAGTCAAATCGGGTCACCCACAACTATCTTACTATCATATGCACGAGTAGTTCATGGGCAAGACATATAGATATAGGAAATCGTCCACACACAAATAACCAATTCTTGCAAATTTAGCAACTTTTATTGTAGACATTGATTCTGGTATTTAAAAACATTAATTGTGTGCGAGCAGTTACCTTATTTATTTATATTTATATTTATGTGCATCAAATCAATGTTAAAGAGCGTTTCTCATACGTGACTTATTTTTTGTTTCTTATATTTAATTTTTTTTATTTATACATTTTATGTAATTTAACTTCACAGTCATATATGAAAAATAATAAAAAATTGCGCAAAATGTTATAAAGGGTATGTTTGGCAAATGACTGTTAGCTGTTGTTGTTAGCTGGTTGTGTCAGCTGTTTCCTAACAGCTGGTTGTGTTAGCTGTTTTGACCGGCTGGTTATGTTAGCTGATTATAGATAACTGTTTGGTAAAATTGGTTGTTTCGAAATGGCTGATAGAGTGTAAATTGAACCAGCCGAATGAATAAGCTGCCCCCCTTAGCTTCTTCAACAATCCATTTTTTCAGCTTTTCAAACTCAACAAGCTAATTATAAAAGCCATTTCCAAACATCATTATTAGCTTCTTTGACCAATCAAACATCTGAAATGGGTCAAACAAGCTAAAAGCCGGCTGATAAGCCATTTGCCAAACATACCCAAAATGTGAAGGACAAGTATTATTCTTTAAACAATATGGCTTGATTTCCCAAAAAAAAATATGGCTTGAAGCCTTGAAAGTAAACTGTTGGGTCCATAGGTAACTGCCATAGGTCAGCTTTCAAGCCATGCGAAGGTCTAATAGGATGTTCACATTTCCACCCCCATGCTTTATATTTCTCATTTTCTGAGCGGCTAAAAACCCTAGCTCAAACCCTCCTTCCACCAGCTTCCGCCAAACATTCTTCCAAACACATTTCTAGTTCTCCTTTCTTCTTGCCGTCGATTTTAGCCTGTAGTCTGTTCTTTCCCGTGCATTTACGCTTCACATCGCCGTTTCCCTGCAGTTGCGTGAATAACGCTAACGATGTCGGACGACGAGAGAGAGGAGAAGGAGTTGGATCTCACCAGTCCCGAGGTCGTCACCAAGTACAAGAGCGCAGCCGAAATCGTAAACAGTAAGTATCTATCTTACTCCGTCTGGGTGTGTGTTTGTACATATGGGGTACTGGTTGATGTATTTTGCCCGTATTATTTGATACAGAGGTATCACCAGCGTAATGCTTACATAGCACAGATATACATCATATATGCGTGAATGCTGATTATTGTTATCTGCGCGCTGAAAGTTTTATTTCTTTTAAAGAATTGATGTTATTTTTGTAGAGGCCGTGCAACTGGTTTTGTCCCATTGCAAGCCGAAAGTCAGGATTGTTGATCTGTGTGAAAAGGCTGATACATTCATTAGAGAGTATGTTTTCTATATTACGTTATTACTTTTTTATAAGAATGGGACCTGTTATCCTGCCTACTATGTTGTATTCCGTACTGAGTGATTGATTGTGGTGTAGGCAAACTGGAAACATGTATAAGAATGTGAAGAAGAAGATTGAGAGGGGTGTTGCCTTTCCCACCTGCATTTCGGTTAACAATACTGTTTGCCACTACTCTCCTTTGTCTTCTGATGAGACTGTGTTGGAAGATGGTGATATGTTGAAAATGTAAGTACTAAAGATTTGTTTAGTCCTTCTTCAATGCTTTAATTCAGGAAAATTTGAGTCTTTGGTAGAGCATTTGAGATGAAAAGGAACACAATTTTAGCTTTTCTCTGTGAAACTACAGTTCACATATTATAGTTTAGTTTTTCATTTACTCAATATACCAGGCTGTACACCGTATTAGTTGTGTATTCTATGATATGTAATGTTTATTATAAGGTTTCTTGTCTGTTGCAGTGATATGGGGTGTCACATAGATGGTTTTATAGCAGTGGTTGCACACACACATGTGCTTCAGGATGGGCCAGTTACTGGCAGATCTGCTGATGTAATTGCTGCAGCAAATACCGCTGCTGAAGTTGCTTTGAGGCTTGTGAGGCCTGGAAGGAAGGTAATTCTTAATAAGGAGAGAGTGTTATCCACATTCTCCATACACTGTTGATGGAATGATTTCATCTCCAGTTCTGCTTCTTTTTGGCCTAAATTTAAAGTGATTGTGCTCATCATTAAGTAAAATGTGATGGCTTGGAACTCTTGATATGCTTGAGTACACAACAATGTCTACAACTCGACGCCCTTTCTTCTCATGGATTGTTATTAAAGGTCTAGATAATTCATATTTATATTGTGTCTGATCCCAAACAAACAGCTTACAGAATGACAGAGCTATCAAAAGTATTACTAGTACTATTTCTGTTTCCGTCTCACTATGTTTACTTTTCTATTTTTAGATTTTCATGAATTCTGCCTTATACGTGAAGTTCCTATTTGAGTTAGTATTTCAAAATTATCATGATGCTAGTGGTCCACACGGCCACACCTAACGTCTAGGATGTAACGGGCATACAACTCATTGCACAATAAAAAGGAAACTCTTAACTTATACAAAAGCGTAATTAGGATGAACACATAATTATGAAATGGGTCCATGGGGAAAGTATTTCATTTCTGCATCATTTGAGGTTCCAAATAGCAAATTGTTATTTAGGATATTATTTTCATATTGCCCCTATATCAATTTATGGAGTTCCTTGGTCATTTATAGAATTCTGATGTAACGGAAGCCATCCAGAAGGTAGCTGCAGCTTATGATTGCAAAATTGTTGAGGGAGTTTTGAGTCATCAAATGAAACAGTTTGTTATTGATGGAAACAAAGTTGTGTTAAGTGTGTCTAACCCTGATAGTAGAGTTGATGAAGCAGAATTTGAAGAAAATGAGGTGTATTCCATTGATATCGTGACAAGCACCGGTGAAGGAAAGGTTGGCTTTGGGTTCTCCTATATGTCATTGTTTCGTACATGATTTTTTGTTCTAATTTAAACTTGAGTTTCATCTATATTTTTGATATTAACAACTGCAGCCAAAACTGTTAGACGAAAAACAAACAACTATATATAAGAGGGCTGTTGACAAAAACTATAGCTTGAAGATGAAAGCATCAAGATTCATATTCAGTGAAATCAGTCAGAAGTTCCCAATCATGCCCTTCACAGCAAGGTTATCATCGCACGTTAACAGTTGATAATATCATTTGCATTATTGTTGCACTAAACTGAAAACTGTGTATTTCACAGGGATTTGGAAGAGAAGAGAGCCCGTCTTGGGCTGGTTGAATGTGTTAACCATGATCTTCTACAGCCATATCCTGTTTTACATGAAAAACCTGGTCTGTACTTAACATCAAATCTTGATTCCTATGATGAAGCATAATAGGCTATTCATAAAAAACCTTCATTCATACTAGTTTTAGCGGACATGAGAGAATGACTCAACAGGGTTGGTTCTTTGGTGGTACAGGTGATTTTGTTGCACATATAAAGTTCACAGTTTTGTTAATGCCGAATGGATCTGATAGGATAACGTCACATCCACTTCAGGATCTGAACACAACAAAGACAATTGACAATGAACCAGAGATCAAGGCATGGCTAGCCCTTCCTACAAAGTCTAAGAAGAAAGGCGGGGGGAAGAAAAAGAAAGGTAAGACTTAATTATAAATTAAAAACTGCTTGGAAATTAATAGGAGGAAATGCTTTTCTCAATACATAATACTCCCTCCATCCCACTAACAATGGGACAAGAGGGAATGACATGCAAACCAATAAAAGTGGTTTGTGTGGTTGATATTGAATTGATAAAGTAAGAACAAAATAAGAATGATTTAGAGCCACACAAACTTTACCAAATTTGTTTTAGGACAATCTTAGTGGGACTGACCAAAAAGGTAAAATGGGACAATTTTAGTGGGATGGAAGGAGTATATGTTTGGAGATAGTGCGGTATGCAATATGTAGTGCGGTTGTAACTTGTACCTTATTTCCTCTTGTCTTTATCTTCTCAAAAGACAAGGCATAATCTTGGCCACACAATTCGTTTACAAAGTGTTCTTTTGATGAAGTCACACTTCTTGTCCACCAATTGATTACTACTCCCTCCGTCCCATTTATAATTTCCCGTTTTACCTTTTCAGGAAGTCCCACTTAAATTGTCCCATACCATATTTGGCAAAGTTTGTGTGGCTCTAAATCATTCTTACTTTATTTTTACTTTATCAATTAATATCAACCACACAAACCCACTTTTCTTAATAACCGTGCCACCCTCTTCCGGGACAATATAAATGGGACGGAGGTAGTAGTAGTTAATTCAGCATCTATTTTTTAAAATTCTAGAATATGCAGTTCTCAAGTAATTCAACTGGCAATAGAATGATTTCTCAAGAAAAGCACTTGACTACATAGTCTACATTGTTAACTGCTTAGTTTCAAAAAGTGGGTTGCACCTTTAATGGAAGGAGTGATTTGATATCCCGCATAATAAATATGCCAGTTATGTGATTCTCTATACAAAACAGATTTAACAATTGAAGTACTTGCCTCTAGCACTATTAGATTGCTGAATTAACTAAAAGTCAAAAAATCGATATTAAAAAGTGCTTCAAATAAAAAAAAATGAAAAAATGGGTTCCAAATTTATAACCATATATTCTGAACAGTTTTAGTGGAATGATTTATATCACAAAAAGCTACTTATATTACTCCTGTATCATAATAACTGTCCCAGGATGCCAGTTTCCTTTTCGGGCTGTTTCAAATTAATTGTCCCATTTCATTTTTCGGAAAGAAATCTACCCTAAAAGCAGCTACAGTACACTTTAATATAGCATTCAACAAAGTACCAAAAACCTCTTGCTTTTTGGAAAGTGTACAATAAACTTGTAATGGAGGGAATAACTACTTTCATATGCGAAAAGCCAATGGGGCACTTATTATGATATGGAGGGAATAGTTACTTTAATATGCATGTTTGTACTTCTGTAGACATAACAATCAAGGACCTTGTTGTGTTTCTTTTGATTAGTCTCTAATGGATCAGGATTTGACCTAACATTTGCAATGATTTCAACAACCTTGATACCATCTATTTTGCTCATGTGCAGCTAAGAAAGGAGAGAAGGCAGAAGAGTCCAAAACTGAACCTATTGAGGAAGATGCAAATGGAACTGATTCTTAGTGAGTTCTTTAATCTTACGAGTTTCCTTGTTCTGATCTCTTCCATGAAGATGCTTTGGTTCTTCGATCTTCATACTGTGACATGTTGAGATGATCCACCCTTCCTTCCTACCCTTGTCATATAAAGCAACTGCACATGTTTTCGTCCAACACAAGTTAAACTTTGGAATGCTTTATTTGTCTGTTGGTTCTATGCAATGCTTTACAAGTTTTGAAGACATCACTTTGAGCCAATAATTTATTCTATGGTTCTAGGATTGGATATGAATGTTACATAGACCTTTGCACTAATACTAATGCAATCCTGTAGTGTATTAAGGTGGTGTTAAGTTCAAATAAACTTGTTAGAATCACGGAGTGATTATTAGAAATCGTTTTTAAAGGAAAAGGTGGCCCTTTTTGCATATTTTACAAAAGCATCAATATTAGAAAAACAAATCAATTTTTTCCCAGAGTTTTTTTTGTAATGCAACAGTTTTTTGTTCTTAAACGTTAGGGTCATCACTCATTTGTATGTAAATCACCGTCAGTTTTAGTTTTGGTCTAAACACTATTGACATGCAGTTGGGGTGGATGTTGTCTGGTTTTGGTTGTCTAGCACCAGTCGGTCTTGGGCAATTGAAAAAGTGAAACAAGAATGGTAAACGGGCACAACTGTTATGGTTTTGAATTGGTTCTGGTGCCGAATTCATGACTAAAACCACCGTCACTTGCCAGTAAATAGGCTGGTGGTGGCACCTTACTTGGGAATTGGGATAGATGAGCTGGTTCAGTATCCGGGCATTCACTAGGCTGGTTACATCCATTTTAAAAAATGGGATCATAAATCACAGTTTGATAATGCAAGGAAGACTCTCATAGTCCCACCTGATTGTCTCACATGTACATATATATATGTGGATGCATAGACATAATTTTTCTGTTCTTTCATTTATGCGTAGAGCCACACAAAAATCTACCGATTTTATGCTTGTCTTATTTCTTTATTTTTCAAAGCTCTGTTCTTATCGTGCTTTCTACAATAATATACTCCGTAGTATGTTACAAAAACTTTTCTACAGAAAATAAGTTGTCCCTCTTTTTTTTAAAGCATTTTATTATATGCAAGAATTTTATTTTTGTTTTGCTATTATGTTCTCTTTTCATGTCTCAGTTCTTGCCTTTTGGTCGTTTCATATCCCTTTTCTGACATTTCAATTTTCATCTATTGCATTTGGATTACTTTTTGCACTATTTTACACTACTAGTTAACTCTACTTTTAATTTGAACTTTTTTTTCTTTAAATATTTAGTAAACGAAAAAATAACCTTGTTCAGAGAAAAATGTTCACCAAGTTGATATCTTATAATGGAGATTTTTTCCGTATTAATGTTAATTAATTAATTAATTAATTACGAAAATAGGGTTGGGTTAAAAGTATTTACCAAAATACTGCTGGGTTAACCATGGTCGGGGCAAGTCGTCCAACGGTTGGGCGACTTATAAGTCGTCCAACGGTTGGGCGACTTATAAGTCGCCCAACCGTTGGACGATTTATAAGTCGCCCAACCGATGGACGACTTACCCCTTAAGTAAAAACGGGTTTGGTGACTTATAAGTCGCCCAAATGAAAAAGAAATTTGATGTTGATTGAGTACCATAAGCGTCACAGGATTTGTCAATGTATATCTCAAGCGTCGACATATCCTTCGAGTTATGCTCCACATATTTGTTATAGTTAGCTCATCAATGAGGGGCATAAGCATGTACTTTCTCCCGTTCATGGGAAATTTCATTTTCAACCGCAAAGTACGGCTAGGATGAATCATTGTGGCTGCATGTATTTTTTGAAGGATCTCGAGCACGCAAGCGCCACGAGAAATCATGACCAAGTTGGTTCTACCACCTTCATGTAGGGATAGTGATGGACCCGGGCCGGGTCGGACCCGGGTCGGGTCAAGGCCCGGTCGGGCCTCGGGTCCTATAACGGTAGGCCCGGGACCGGCCCGGTCAATGACCGGTTCCGGTTCGGGCCGGGCCACCCGCCCGGGTCACGGTTCGGGCCACCCGCCGGGCCGGGCCGGGCCAGTACAATTTTTTTTTTTTTATTAATTATATATTATACAAATTGCTATTAAAAACAAAGTTCAAGTGCATTTATTTGAAATAAGAACTACATTTGAGAATTGAGAAAAAAATAACAATACGAAATACATTTTGTAATGAATATCAATTGGGATTTCCGCCATCGTTGGTTGTTGTTTTCCCTTTGTCACAGGACTTCATATGTTTTATTGGCATCCCGTATCCGTATGAACGCCCCAAGCAACAGTCTTTCTTGCACCACCTGTAAGTTGCCCACCACAGTCCGGTCTTCGGGTCCTTCCACTTGTCAAAATTGTTTTGCATAAGGGAAGATGTACTTTCCATATTTAAAATGGTATATGTATAAGTAGAAATGTAGGATAATAAGAGAAGATGAAGATGGAGAAGAGTTTGAGAAGAATTGGAGAAAAGGTGTAGAAAAATGTTAGAAAATAGATGTATTTATAGATGTTTTTGAACCCCACTCCCCACACCACCACCCCCGGGACCCCCCCTGCCCCCCACCCATAGCCCCAACGGCTATATAGCCGTTTGGGAGCTTTTTTTTTTTTTTTTTTTAAGTTATACACATATTGTAAAATAAATTAATTAATTTAATGAATTAAGTAAAACTAAAACTATTTGTACTTAGAAAAGTGGTTTGATTTATAATTTACAAATGTTACAAAATAGGTGTATAAGTATTTAAACAAATTACATATTCTAAATGTATTTTTAATTTAAAAACCGGCTTTATATTTTAGAAAAATAATTTTAAGTCGTTAGATTGTAACCAATTAATTAATTTGAGAAGTGCTACATATGAAAAAGTGAACACATATTTATTTGAAATATGAAGTACAAGTTTACAAATTAATTTGAACTACAACTACAAATTTACAATTTTGAAATATGAAGTACAAGTTTACAATTTTGAAATATGAAGTACAAGTATAAATAAATTTGACAAGTGCTATAAAATACATTTTGTAATAAATTCTAAAATACTAATCAATCGGAATTTCCGGCATAGGTAGAACCACCATCGGTTGTTGAGTCATCCATAAAATCTTGGGAGGGGGTGATGCTCAATTCTTGAGTTCTACGTGCGGCCTTCAACCAATCGTGGTAGCATATAAGCGTCTCAAGAGACTCCGCGCTCAATCTCGATCTAGATGCCGTTAGGACGTTGCCGGCCGAACTAAATTCTTGTTCCACAGCAACTGTTGAAACCGGCATTGATAGTACTTGCTTAGCCATCCGTGCTAAAATCGGGAACGTTCTTTCTTTTGACTTCCACCAGTCTAGAACGTCAAAGCCATCATTTTCTTCAAAATCAACTTCATATGTTAAATACAAAGTAATCTCATTCAATGCGCTTTGTTCAGTGACGTGAGTTGTTTTAGTTTTTTTCATAAGATTGCCAAATGCAGATTTAAAAATCGATTTTCCTTTAGATGAAGATGTTCGTGACGGGGGAGGGGGAGCGTTGCTATATTGTGCACGAAATTCATTAAATAAGGCATAAAATAAAGTACTAACCTCGTTGTATTCCGTTTTCGGATCTATGGGGTTATCGTCATACATTGGAAATTCACCGAAAAACGCAAGATAATAGATGTTGAAACAATCTTCCAAATTAGCAGGTCTATAACGAGGATCAAGAATAAATGCAATACCATAAATATGAGTAATATGCGCATAATATTTTAAAAACTTTTCCTTCATATGATCACAAAAATGATGAACGAAAACGACATTTTGAAATTCTTTAAAAGCATCGGCGAGATTAACAGCTTGTGGAATAAATTGGTTTGCGGTAGGTTTATAAACATGACTAAAAGTTTCAGTAGCATTAAAAAAATATATCAAAACATTACAAATTTTTTCGCAAGTGTCGATCTCAGCCGCGTTTATAATATAGTTATCATGTTCTTTTAAAAAAAGCAGGAAAATGTTCTTTATATCTAAGAACAACTTTAAGTAATTTATAAGTACTATTCCAACGAATACTCAAATCTTTAGGAAAAGCAACATATCTCACACCTCTTTCAGTCAAATAACTTTGCCATTTTATTCTAAGTTGACCATTACCCCAAATACGTCTAACCCCCCCCCCCCCCCCCCCCTTATTACCTCCATGGAATCTCCTAACGTTTTTAAACCGTCTTGCACACATAAATTTATAACATGACATGCACACCGTTGATGAAAAAATCTACCCATCAAAGAATTGGCACCACACAACTCACGCAATCTAGGTATAGCAGCAGTATTATTAGTAGCATTATCGAAACCAATAGCAAACACCTTATCAATCAAATTATACTCAATTAAAATACGCTCAATCAAAATATAAATATGTTCTGCGATGTGACGATCATTAAATTCACGAAAAGCAAGAACACGTTTATGCATATTCCAATCCTCATCAATATAATGTGCAGTCAGACCCAAATAATATAAATGATGAAAATCATCCTCCCATATCTCAGAACAAATAGTAACACGCCCATCAAAGTTTGCAAAAAAATTTTGTAACCTTACCTTTTCCGCATTATAAAGCTTTATTATTTCTTTCTTAACAGTTTTGCGACTATAATTTCTAAATTGAGGATTTAAACTACCTTGTGCATAATCTCTTAAAGCAAGACTTTCAGAAAACAAATAAGGCAAATTTTCTTCACAAATTAAGTTAGCCATACCAATCAAATTTTGTGCATCATTGTAGGAGAAATTACCAAAAGGTTGAGAATTCGCAAACCTCGATATTTGAGTTTGCTTCCCCGTTCCGCCGCCTAATTTTGCATACTCCACGGGGTGCTTTGCCTTAAGATGCCTTGCGGCGGATCCGTATCCGCCGGAGGTTCCCATACTATAATTGTTGTTGCACCACTTGCAAGTTGCGTGCCAATAGCCGGTTTGTGGGTCCTTCCATTTATCAAAATTATTTTTCATTAGTTCAGACTTACTTTTTTTATTACCGGTGGTTGTTTGGGATGAGGCAGGCGCGTCGGCGTCGTGGCTGCCGGCACCCTCCTCCTCGGCCGTCTCCGGTTCAAATTCCTCCGCATCTTCATCCTCAAGCTCCTCTTCGTCAATGGTCGTCGGCATTTGTTGTTGTTGTAGAAAGCGGTTATTATGTCGGGCCAATTCTTGTTGGAGTTGTTCTTCGGACATCACATCTCCATCTCGCCTTTGGTAACCCGTTTCAAAATCATCTCGGCTTTGAGATGAAGACCCGGCAAGTTCTTTACCTTTGCGGGATTTCTTCCTCCCAATCTCGTTTCTTCGATTGCTTTGGAGGTTACCCAAATCAACCGAATATCTACCACCTTCCATCTAAAAAATGTAACAAATATTAATTCACAACAAATATAATAATGGATACAAAACTAATGCAACTAATTAAAACTATTTTGATTAATACTTCAAACTAGTTTTTTGCAAAGTATAATTAATGTGTGTCTCTACAATTAAAATTATAGCAACTTTTGAAGTAAATAACCAGTACAAGTAAAAATGTAACAACAATGCTAATTAAGTAGTTAACTAGTATAGTGACAAATGTAACAAACTAACAACTAGTTAAATAAAATGTGAAGTATTTTAATTAGTATAATGAAAAATGTAACAAGAATAGTAATGAACTAATTAACTAGTATAATGAAAAATGTAACAAGAATGCTAATTAACTAATTAACTAGTATAATGAAAAATGTAACAAGAATGGTAATGAACTAATTAACTAGTATAATGAAAAATGTAACAAGAATGCTAATTAACTAATTAACTAGTATAATGAAAAATATTACAATAATGCTAATTAACTAATTAACTAGTATAATGAAAAATATTACAATAATGGTAATGAACTAATTAACTAGTATAATGAAAAATGTAACAAGAATGCTAATTAACTAATTAACTAGTATAACGGAAAAGATCAGGTCCCTCCGGAGGGACCGAAGCCGCCGTCCGAACTCCGCCGTTTGGGGCGGTTCCCGGTGGAATTTTTTGATGAAATTTTTTGAGCATGTTCCTCATCAAGTCTAGTTTGTCCATACCAAATTTCAGCTCAAAATTCTATCGGGAAGGTCGTCAAATGATTTTTGCAAGTTTACTGGTCCGGAATATGTATTTTCCGGACCAGTTAACTTGTAAAAATCATTTGACGACCTTCCCGGTCGAATTTTGAGCTGAAATTTGGTATGGACAAACTAGACTTGATGAGGAACATGCTCAAAAAATTTCATCAAAAAATTCCACCGGGAACCGCCCCAAACGGCGGAGTTCGGACGGCGGCTCCCCGTCCCTCCGGCTGGACCTGATCAGCTCTCACTAGTATAATACTAGTTATAGTAAGTAATATATAATATAATGTTTATATTATATAATATATAAGTATACTACTATAAGATGAGTAATACACTTATATTTTATACTTTAATATATAAAATATATATTAAGTAGATGTAGAATGTATGTATTAAGTGGATATAATAATTGTATAAGAATTAAATATTAGAGTATAATGGAGAATTGGAGATTGGAAAATAAGTATATATAAAATATAAGTAGAGAAGTAGATATTATTATGTATTAAGTATATAGTAATAGTTTAGAAAGTATATTTAATACTTTATTATATAAAGTATATATTAAGTAGATATAGTATGTATGTATGTATTAAGAGATATAAGTAGAGATTAAGTAGATAAGAAATATAAGTAATATAGTATATGTAGATAATAATATATAAGTAGATAATTAATATATAAGTAGATATAATAATTGTATAAGTATTAAATAGTAAAATAAAATATAAAGGAGAATAAGAGAATTTGAGAAGATGAATATGGAGAATTGGAGATGAGTAGAGAGTAGGATTTAGGTAGAGTTGGAGAAGAGGTGTGAAAAAATGTTTAAAATTAGGAGTATTTATAGGTTTTTTTTAACCCCCACTCCCCACCCTCACCCCCCACCCCCCACCCAAAGCCCCCTGACCCCCCCTGGTACCACCCAACGGCTATATAGCCGTTTGGGGTGGCCGTTGAGCCAAAAGAAGCAAAAAAAAAAAATTAAATTTTGGACCGTTAGGCCCGGGCCCGGGCCTGACCCGGCCGGGCCGGGCCTCCAAAACCAGGACCCGAGCCCGGTCCCCCTAACCCGACCGGGTCTCTGCCCGAACCGGACCCGGACCCGAGAACCGGGCCGGTTCCGGGCCCGCACAGTGGCGGGCCGGGCCGGGCGGCCCGAACCGGGTCCACGCCTATGTAGGGATGGACTCGGGCCGGGCCAACCGGCCCGCTACTGTGCGGGCTCGGACCAACTCGATGAACCGGTTAGTGCCCGGTTCGGGCCACCCTGCCCGGTGGGCTTCGGTTCCGGGCTCAGGCCCTCCATTTGGTGAACCGGCCCGGCCGGTTCAGGCCCGGTCCAGGCCAAATTTATTTTTTTTTTTTGAATTTTTTTTAAGTTTTTGGGTTGGGCTGGGTATTTTGGACCATTTGAGGTGGTTTGGGGTGAGGGGGTGGGTTGGGGGTTAAATAGGAGAAGCCAAAAAAAAATTACAAACCGGGTGGCCCGGCCCGGAACCGGTGGCTACCGGTTCGGGCTCGGGCCCAACAAAACAGAACCGCGAACCGGCCGGGCCCAGGCCCGAACCGGAACCGGTCCACCCCTACCTTCATGGCATATTTGCCCAGCATCCTCATAATAGTTGTCTCCCCAATGACACATGATTGGGAAGCTTGAGAAATCCATATTCTAATAACAATTCACTGTTCAACATTCATGAGTAGGCATCAATATACACACTTTATACGCATTCAAATTTTCAATAGAAAAAGCTACCAAAATTGTAATATATTCAAAAGTCAAAATTTACAAACAATTCACATTTCAATATGAAACTACCCAAATTTTGATATGTACATTCAAGTCTACATTTCAATACCCAAACTTAGCTACATTCAAGTCTACCCAAATGCCCAAATGTCAAAATACACATTAAAATTTACAATCAATTTAAAATTAAATTTCAACATTTCATACATATCCACATCTCACAACAACTGAATTCACAATCAATTCATAATCCAAAAATTCAAAAATTTTAACATTCAAAACTCTAAGTTCAAAATGAGATGAAATGGATTTGGATTTACCTAGAAGAAAGAAGAAAGAGTGTTGAAGAGGATGGAGATGAAGGATTCTTGGGAAGATGGAGGAGACCTCGCCGGAGTGTTGATTCGTCGTCGTCGCTCGCGGTGGGGGGTTCGTCGCTCGCTGCTGTTGCTTTCAATTTGGGGGGGGGGGACTGGGGGAGTGTTCTGTCTTGCAGGACCGGCCCCGTTTTTACTTAAGGGGTAAGCGACTTACCCCGACCATGGTTAACCCAACAGTATTTTGGTAAATACTTTTAACCCAACCCTATTTTCGTAATGAATTAATTAATTAATTAACATTAATACAGAAAAAATCTCCTTATAATGGTGGTTGGGTAAATGGCCTTGTTTGCAAACCAACTAGTAGATCTTAGGTGATTAATTTAACTTGTTGTGTTAGCTGTTTTAATTGACTTGATTATGTGAGTTAATTATAAATCAATATTTAATAAAAGGACACAAGGATATGAATATATGATTAGGTTTGTCCTATTTTTTGTTATTTTTTTTATAATAACCATGTTATAATTACAATTACTTGAAATAAAATAAAAAACATACTCCGTATGTTTAAACACTTGTAGTTGTGCGGTGTTATAGCTCTTAATAAATTTAGTTCAATGTCTTGTCATTTGATGCAAATCAACTTATGCAAATTAGAGTGACATTGTTATACCATGTGCTGTTATACCATGTGCATAGTATACTAGTCTCAATATGACATTATTCTCTAATTACAAAACTATAGCTAATAGATCTTGGAATCTCGGGTCATCTATTTCCTTTTGTTATCTTTTTTCTCGATTTCTTTAATTTTTCTTTTTCTTCGTTAATTATCCTTCTTTTCATTCTTTAAAATATTAAAAAATAACAATAATTTTTTGTCTTCATCTTCAAAATCCCGGTCTTTTCTTCTTCAATTATCTTCTTTTTCCTTCATCAAAAAAATTGGTGTTGCTCGTTGTCATAGTTTTTCGAATTAAGTTCCATGGAGATGATGATTTAGTTGTCTATCTTGTCTTAATTCGGACTTTGATAACTTCATTTTTCTTCATCTTCAAAATATATCACACGTTTTTAGTTGGAATATATCATACTTGCATATACTTTCATACTAGGACATTCGCGATTCCATAAACATTAAGAATGGTTGTTTTATAGATTTCAAGTATGAAAGATTTCTCAATTTTTGCTTCATGTGTGGGGTACTAGGACATACTAGGGGTGGACTCGGTTAGTGGTCCCGGATCGATTCAGAACCGGACCCGCTATTGTGCGGGACCGGATCAGATACTCGATCTGGTACAAGTGGTTACCGGTCCTTGGGACTGAATCTGGCGGTTCCAATCCCGGTTCGGTCCAGAACCGATCAATTTTTTTGAGCCTAGAAAATGAAATACGTCGAGTTAGGGCTTCACCTTTCATGGACCTGGACTGACCGGCTCGAATAGACGAATACCAGATTGAACATGATCGGGTCTGGAATGGGTTTGAACCGGGTCTGGATCAATGATTCAATGCCTAGGACACACTGACCCCTTTTGATCATCTGACACCCGCTTAGTGCCATGGATTTGGGAGAAACCTTATGATCCTTGGATGCAAGTGGACATATATGTGATGTGGAGGGATCCACCCATGAAACAAATGGGCTCATACCGCGTGGGGGAAGAGGATTCACGAGTGAAAGGGGAGAAGGTGATAATGATAAGCAGCTGACGAAGAAGCAAGAGAGGGGAGAAGATACTGAATTTTACTTAATTGAGGGACTACCTCAAGAGGAAAAGAAAAGATGTGTGTTGGAGAGGAGTAATATCAGGTCAGAGTAGGGGTGGAAATATCAGTTTGGTTTAACCGAATTGAATCGAACTGTGTCAAACCAAACTAAACCAAATCGAGATCGGGTGATATGCAATTCGGTTTGAGTTTAGTAGTATTTCTTCCAAACCATAATAAATCGAATTGAAACTGATAAAGATCGAATCGAACTAAAGAAATTCAATAAAACGTTCATATATTATTAAAAATAACAAATCCAAACTAAACTAAATAAACCGAACCAAATCAAAAAATTGTATGATATTTGTTTGGTAATGATTCTTCTAACTCATTCTGAACCGAACCGCAACTGATAAAAACCGAACCGAAAACCACATGTCCACCCCTAGGTTAGAGCTCTTGAGAAAGGAGAATCTAGAAAAAGAATGGTTGTGGATCTTTAGAGTTTGGTGGAAGTTCGAGTCCATGGAGATTGATGGGGACAGTTGAAAAAATGGCTCGACGGCAATGCTTTCGGAACAACACTGTCCAGAATAGTAGACGGAACCCGTGAATGAGATGTTTAATCACATTCAGAGGTGACTAACCAAATATCTTCTCCTTTACCAGTGGTTGGTAAAACTAGGATGCTAGAATTAATTTGTTGCCTTTTTAAAGATAATTTACGTTTTCTTACTTCTCGTTTTAGTAGCAAGTTGAGTGATGCTATATTACACTAGATTACATAGTTGCGGGATTAGCAAATATAGTTGGTCCTTGGGGGCTAATCGATTTTGTGTCTCATCCCAGTTTAGCTTTGGGTTATTCTATTACTTTACTTTATATTACTTTTATTATTACTAAATAAGTTTTTTTAATGAATAATTCAGAAACGCTATTGCTAAATATTGCTCCTACGTTAGGTTAAGCAATTGCGGTCTCACTTTCCTCGAGTGGGATTTTTCTTTTCCGCCGTTGTTGGTCATAGCCAAGGGTTGGTGAGACGTTGGTTTTTTGGTTCTAGATTTTTGTTTGGTAGAAAGAGAACAAGATCTCCATAGCTATGGATAATTGGATACCACAAACATCTTGTTTATTGTTGGTCATGGGCGGAAGATGGGTGCTTGGTCTTCGGTGGCCGAATGTCGTGCACCCCTAACAGCGGGTGGAGAGTTTCCAGAACGGTGTTCATGGCTGAGATCGGAAAGTCATGGGCGAACTTGGGAATAAAGGCTGGAACATATCTGGATTCGAGGTCATCTGAGTTTGATGACGATAGTAGAAGCCTGGCAGAGAACATGATGAATTAGAGGCAGGATGAGAAAGAAGCTACAATATTGTTGGCTTGTCCCCCTCCTGAACCGCCGCCAAGGAGTGCAGGAGAGCCTATGGTTTGGAAGAAGATGAGTGACTTTGATTTAATTCCATTTTATTTTGTTTGTGTTTTTGTTTCGAATTGCATGTTTTGGTTGTCTATTTATTCCCTAGCAGAAAAACTCTAGAATTTAAGACATATGACGAGAAGCCTGATTTGCGTGTCATTGACTCAGTTAAGCCCTTTATAAGTCTGGTTCGAGGGCGGATGATAAACATAAGGCTTTTTGTTGTTTTGCGTCTTGTTTAAGTTTTGTAATTTTAATATAAGCGGCTTTCTTCCAAAAAAAATTTGCTCCTATGTTTCATTTATAAGTTTTTTGAAACCAACAACTGAATCAACAGGCTAATCACCAAATAATAATTTTTGCTGGCAATATTGATCAATATTTTTAGTAGGAAAATCCAAATATTTATTGATTTGTCATTTTCCACATGTAGCCAATATATTGTATTTTAGCATTAAATAGCGCCTCATGGTTTCTTCCACAATGAGAGTCTCTTTCGCAACGGCAAAATAGATTGGAGGCTTTTCTATCATTGTCACGGTTAGTTTTTGTGCGTAATTCAATAGCACAATTGCTATTAGCGGTCATTCCCCTACGAATTAGGGTTTCATTCTTCCGCTTTCGTCATTGACGAAGAGCGGCCGTCGGTCGATTTCGGCCGTGAAAGCAGGCTCGGGACCAAGGATGCAGTGTTTTGGCAGTCAGAGCTCGACTTCTACTATTGCTTCTGGTCGAAGGTCGAGTGTCGATAAAGAAAAGGCAGATAAGCTATGACGGAGCTTGGGTTCGATTCAACAACAAGGGATATCAATGGAGGATATTGTCAATCAATACAAAATTATGGATATTGAGGCGGATAAGCGGCGAGCGCGTCCTCCTCCGAGCCGCTGCTATGGAGTTCAAGCGAGTCTGGGGTTTGGAAGAACATGAGTGAATTCTGTTTTAATTCCGTTTTATTCTGTTTGTGTTTTTCTTTCGAATTGGATGTTGTTTTGCATGTGTTCTTATTTCCAAGCAGAGAGATTCTAGAATTTAAGTCAGGTGATGAGAAGTCTGGTTTGCCTGTCATTGGCTCAGTTAAGCCCATTACAGGATCAGCGAATGTTATTGCTTCTACAGAGGTGATAGATTCTAAGTATGGTTCGAGACCGGACGGCAGACATAAGACTTTTTATCGTTTTGTTTCCTGATTTTTCTTTGATTGTATTTTTAGCCATGTGATGAACATTTTGTTGATTTAATATATTTGTTGGTTTGACGATAAAAAAAATTGTATTTTAGCATTATTTCGCTTGAAGTTAAAAAAAGGATATAAACATTTGACATTATCATCATGAGGTAACAATTAATTTAGGTTAGTGCATAAATTAGCATGAATACAAAATCAAATCATTTGTTAGTTACAATAATCTAGCCTCAAACAGAGATAGAGACAGGAGTGAAATGAGTTACTTCAAACAATCTGAAATTGAACACTGAGCATTTTAAAGACAAAATTTTATTGAAGGGAAAACTATCAAATTTGGTCACTTTACTACCACAAAAATGTCAATTGAGTCCTCATATTTGTGAAAAAATCAATCAAATGTCTGAACTTTGTAGAAACGTTAAATTGAGTCTATTAGCAGGTTATCTGGCACTACATCAAGTCATTTGCTGATGTGTCACAAATGTAACAGCCTAGTCGGCTGTGGTTTTGCTGATGTGGCACACATTTGAAAGCCCAATGAGCCATTTATCGATGACGTGGCACACACGTGGACCGTCGCGTGTACATCACGTCAGCAGATGACAAGTAACATGTTAATTAACTCAATCGAACGTTTTTTCAAAAGTATGAGGACCTAATTGACTTTTACACGATAGTACGATGAACAAATTGGCAGTTTTCCCTTTATTTAATACTCCTTATGATATACGAAGTATTACATCTCTTCCATTAAGATATAAAGATGAATAAGTGACTTAATTATTAAGAAAAATGGAATCATATAATACAATGTTGAATAAAAACTAGGAATGAAAATAATACAAGGATTTTCATAAATATTAATCAAATAAATTTATTTATAAAAGAATGAATAAATCACTATATCATAGTGTCGTGAATATTTGAGTATAAAAAATGAACTTAAGTTGTTATGACTAAAGTTATCTATACTAATATAAAAAGGGAAACCAGACATACTTTACCGGTACATTTTAAAAAACTTCCACCACAATTATTTATCAAACGGCTATGTGCATGAAACGAAGTATCGAATTCTAATCAGTGCCAGTGTGCCACATTTTTTGATACATCGGAACAAAAATAAAAGAAAAAGAAAAGCACCAACAAGGTTAATTAAACTCCAATTGACTCTAGCCATTAGCATCCTCCCAAAGAATTTGTTTGACCCAAACTGGAGCTGAGTGTAACACTGTAAGACCCTTAGGAGCTTCGTGGGCTACATTCGCAAGTTTATCAGCACATTTATTACCTTCTCGAAAGATGTGCTTGATTTGAATAAATCGTCTGTCTTCCGGTAATTTTTGGCAATCACGAATTAGGACTCCAATGTGAGCACCATGCTTGTTACTATAATAACTAAACTTAAGAAGTCACATTTTTGTAAATGTATTTATTTTAATCATAAATATGTAATCATTTCAATTTATATTATAAAGACTTACGTAGTATATTATAAACAACTATTTGGCCATGCTCTAGACCATTTGAGCTCGGTAAATTGTACCGTACACCCGGTTGTACGGTGCTCACCGTACAACCGGGTATTTTTGCAATTAATTACAACTCGAGTGGTAAAGATTATGTAATCAGTTCTTCCCTGTTGTGTCAAGGTGTTGTTCGCCGGTCGTGGGAGTTGATGAAGGAGATGTTGGATCGATGCCTGCTGCTTGCTGCCGTCCTGAAGATCGATGTTCGCCGGCCTTCTAATCTAAATGCAAACTCTTGTATTTTAGATCTCTTCTTGTAGAATTTCTACGCCTAGCTCATTGTCACTGAACAGATGAGAATTTTATGTTTTTTAATTTAATATATTGAATATTAATATTATGCGCTAATATTTGCTGCTTGTTTATTACTAATATAATTTTATGTTATGTTGAAAATGAGTATACTGTTTATAACAAATGTGCATAACGGTTAAAAAATCAAACATACAAAAATGAATATTTGAGCATGTTGGAAAATTGAAATGAACACACACAAATGAAAATTTGAGCATAATAGCGTATTCAAATGAGACGCATAAATGAAAATTTGACCTTACTAGAGATTTTAAATGAGTTTTTTGAATTTTTCGATGCTCATTTCGTAAGTAATGTATATTCATTTGATATTGGTGTAATGCTCATTTTAAATTTTACGATATTCATTTTATAAATTATGTATTATCATTTAATATTTGTGCATATTAGATTTTAAATGAGTTTTTTGAATTTTTTGATGCTCATTTCGTGAGTATGTATGCTCATTTGAAATTCGTATATTTAACGCTCATTTTCTAAGTTACGTATGCTCATTTAGTATTGATGTTCTGCTCATTTTTAAAATGTTGTATTAGTGTATGTCAAAAGTATCATATTACGTTGAACTCGCATATTGAAATGTGGGCATAAGAGTTGAATATAGATATAATTTAATAAGTTTTTATAAAAGAAAAAATAAGAAAAAGAAAGTG